TTGGCTCCATTTGTTGATTGCATACACTATGGAAAGTAGTTCTCTTTCATATACTAATAAAGCCATGTGTTTAGGAGCTAAGACCTTACTAATATAAGTGATAGGATGCCCATCTTGCATAAGAATCGCTCCCACACCGTAGCTTGATGCATCTGTTTTTATAACAAACAACTTGGAGAAGTCAGGTAATGCTAAGACAAGAGTTGATATCATGGCAGTTTTGAGTTGCTAAAATGCTATTGTTGCTGTTTCATTCCATTGGAACCCATATTTTTTAGTAGATCAGTCAAAGGTTTTCTAATTTTTCCATAGTTCTGCACAAACCCTAGATAATAGTCAGTAAGGGCAAGAAAACCCCTAAGTTGCTTAATGGTTGTAGGCCTAGGCCATTGCTTGATTGTTCCAATCTTTTTGGAATCAATTAAAACCCCTTTCAACTGAGATGTAATGCCCCAAGTATTCAATCTGATCAACTCCAAAAGAACATTTGCTTCTGGAAAAAAGAGAGTTTTTTCTCATGATAGTGAAAACAACTTTGAGATGTATGAGTTGTTGGCCCAAACTAGCACTATAAACTAAGATGTCGTTAAGGAACACTAGTACAAACTTCCTTAAATGTGGTTGGAACACATAATTCATTAAACTTTGAAAGGTAGAGGGTGCACTAGTGAGCCCAAAAGACATCACCACAAATTCATAATGGCCCAAATGGTAGGGATGGCAACGGGGTGGATATGGGGCGGGGCACCCCCTCCCCATCCTCGCCCCGTGTTTAAAATCCCCGCACCCGTCCCCGCCCCATCCCCGGTATCAGGGTAAAGATTCAACCCCCATCCTCGGCCCCTTCGGGGATGGGGAATCCCTGACATGTACTTGCCTAGAAATACAGTGAAGATCRAAGAACGAAGGAAGACTGGGAAGTCTACTGCTACGGAGATGGTGGCGCCCAGTGGTCTGTTATCGCTAGAGCAAGAAAGGAAGAAAAAGCTAAGAACCGCTATTGATCTATTACAAACTGGGCTGTTAGATCTGTTACAAACGGAGAAAGGAAGAAGAGTGAATGACTAATTCACTGTGAAGATCGGAGGAAGACTGCCAGACTGAGAATGTGAGAAGTCTCGAAGATGAAGACTGAAGAGTGAAACACTACGGTCGTGCGGCGGTCGGCGGTTCCTCTATGCTACAGTAGTCAGTGGTTGGCGGTTCCTCTGTGCTACGACGGTGGCGGCGTCAAGCAGTCAACGGTTGTGCAAAGGTTGAAGGAAGACTTAGTGACTCTCTAAGTCTCTGTATGTGCGAAGGTTGAAGGAAGACGAAATAAGCGGAAGTTCTAACTCCTAACCTAATACCTTAATTAATACATTATATATAAAAGAGTATATCTGTAATTCACAACCAGGATTGGGACGGGTTTGGGGATTTATAAGTAGACCCCATCCCCGCCTCGTCCCCGGTTTGAGGCCAAAGAAAATTCCCCAAACCCGACCCGTATGCATTTGTGACTAGGGAAATCTGCCCCGTTCGGGGCGAGTCGGATCGAGGACTCGGTTTTGCAGGTAAAATTGCCATCCCTACCAAATGGGTTTTGAAAGCAGTTTTATGTAATCTGTCAAGTGCATTCTAATTTKATAATATCCAGATCTAAGATCAATTTTTGAGTAAATATTGGGTCCCCCCAATTCATCAAAAAGCTCTTCTGCAACAAGGATTGGAAATTTATCCTTGATAGTAGTTTTTGTTTAATTCTCTATAGTCCATACAAAGCCTCCAACTTCCATCTTTTTTGCTAACCAAAACAACTGAAGATGCAAAGGGACTATTGCTTGGTTGGATGACCCCCATAATCCAACATTTCTTGGGTTAACTTATCAATGATATCTTTTTGAACTAAGGTATACCTGTATGGTCTCTTGTTTACAGGAGTGGTGCCTTCATTTAGGGGTATCCTATTGGTCAAAGGAGGTTTTATAAGGGGGTAAGGACTGAGGTTCATAAAAAATGTCTTGATATTCATTCAATAATTGAGAGATAGAAGGAGGTACCTCATTATTGGGGGATGTGTGTAATGAAAAGAATGTTGTGAAGGATTTTCTTCCACTTGCAAAACACAAAGCCGCAACATAGATGTTTGAGGAGAATGTAATAGCTTGGCAAAATGCTTGTTGTTAGCATTTTGAGGATAGAAGAAGAACCTCGTGGAACATGCCTTTTGCCATTAATGGAGAATTCCATTTTGAGTTGTTGAAAATCCCATACTATAGGGTCCAACGTAGAGAGCCATTGAATTCCAAGCACCATGTCGCAACCCCCTAATGGAATCAACATCATGTCAGCCTTGAAGCTAGTGTTTTGGATTTTCACAAAAATCTTTGCATATAGCAATACTGAACATCCTACTCCCATAAGCTATTGCCACAGAAAGATGTCCCATAGTAGATATCTTGCAGCCTAATTTTCTGGTGACATGTACATCCAAGAAATTATGAGTGCTCCCACTATCTATAAGAATGTGTAGTGGTTTAGCATTGTAGTAGCCAGTAACCCTCATAGTTTGAAATGCCTGGGATCCAATCAAGGCATGTACTAAAATTTGTGGTATCAATGTCATCATCTGACTCTTCTTCAATGTTGCCCTCTTCATCTCCTTGTACCTCAAGAATAATTATTGCCTCTTTTGTTTGCATTTATGACCAAGAACAAATGCCTCATCACAGAAATAGCACAACCCTTTAGACCTTCTCTCATTCATTTAAGTAGTTGTAATAATTTTGTGGGGTTTATCAAGTAAGGTGGGTTTCTTGTTGGTAAGTGGATTGGCTGTAGGGTTGTGGATGGGTGTGGCTGATTTATGGATTACATTGGCAGAGCTTGAGTTTGGTTTTGAAAGGGAGGGGATAGGTAATAATTGAGGCAGTCTTTGTGAGAATTTAGCTCTCTTATTTTGTGCAACAATAGCAACTTCCTGCAATTTTGCCAAGCAAGTTGCATGTGTTAGATAGTGTATGCCCTTAGCTCCAATTAGATTGATGTACATTTTGACATTTATTATAAATGAATAAAATACATAATTAATTCATGTTATCTATGGTGTGTTTCTGTGTAATATCTACTAGACACTTATGAGACTCGTGTTAGTTTAGAATCCTCATAGCCATTGGATAGACTTGGGGAGGTTTATCTTGCCAAGGCTGACACTAATGTGCTACTAAGTTGGTTGGGGTGGCTTGTCTCAGCTACTAGGGTGAGACCTGAAGCACATGTAGTGTGGGTTTGCTTGAAACCCTGAACCGAACCATTTTCTAGTTATGCCCTGGACCTTGGTGATAGATGGGCAAAATTGGAAAGTTACACCTAACCCCTAGTGTGGATTCCATATCAGGTATATCCCTCCCTTAATCTTGGTTTCAGATTTGGTCCAATTTGTTTCAAGAATGAACATTGAAAAATATAATTTTTCTAAATCAATGAATAGGATTCTCGGAAAGGAGAAAGAAATTTTTGAAATTTTGCATAGCCACCCTGCATGGTTCGGCCATCCATATAATGGATCTCTCTTCCCTTCAACATGTTGCAAAGTTTTGGGTTGAAACATTCTTATAGACAATTGAATGTCCTCTCTCAACCCAGTTAGAAAACAACTAATAGTGTATTCCTCTTATAAGCTCACATGGGACAAAATTGAATCAAAGGCATCTTGGTACTCTTGCACAGTACCGTGCTATTTCAAATTCATCAATTTAGACATAGGGTCATCATACACACAACCAAACCTAGCAATTAAAGCATTAACATAGTCATCCCAACTAGGTAGTGCCTACGTAAACCTAGATTTGATATAAGCTTGATGCCATTGCAAAGCTTTTCCTTCCAAATGAATGGAGGCTAATCTCACCTTGGTGTCAACAGGTGTCTCATCAATTAGGAAGAACTAGTCACATTTATATAACCATCCCTTTAAATCTTCTCCATTGAACTTGAGAAGTTCAGCTCTAGAAATTCTGGTGTGAAATTGATAATTGGTAGAATTAACCTTAGAATTTGGCAAGGCTTGGAACTGGACTAGTAGTAGTGTTATTCTGAATCTAAAGGCCAATTATGATATCCTTGAGCTCGGCCATAGTCTTCCCATGCAATTGTTCTTGCTGCTCTTGCCTTGTTGTCAAGGAACCTACCTCCTACTGTCAAGGAACCTTCCAATTGATACCAATTCTTGGGAATTGGGGTTCAAGAATTTAGAAGAATTGTAGAGTCAATAACAGTTAGGGGGGGGGGGAGGTTATTAGGAATAGGAGAGAAGGGAGAGGGAGAGGGAGAGGGAAAGCGAAAGAGAAAAAAAAATTCTGGTGTGAATATATTTTTCCATTTGGTGTTTAGATCAGATTTTTATACAACAAATTGTTACAGATGTCAAAACCTGTAATCAACTTTTAATTAACATTCCTTGATGAAGCTCACGTGGTTAATTAATGGCTCGTTTGGTAAATCTTTTTGAGAAGATCTTCTCGTAGTTTTGACAGTTAATAAATACATTAAATTTTTGACATAAGATCTGAGCAGCCTGAAGACCGTTTGGCAGATACATGTATTTCCGTGTGAGATTAAAACATGAAAGGCGTGAAAAGTTTTATTTAGAGCTTCTCGAAATCAACCAAAAATGGACTTGCACGTCTTTTTGGCACCACATCTTTTGGTGGCTAGATTTTTTGCGTGCAAAACGGGAATAGACCGATTTTCGTTCTTTCCGGTTTGTAAACAGCCGAAAAACTGCGCAAAAAGACGCGCCAAACAACACCTAAATCTCGCATCAGATTAAGGTGAGGCGCGCTTTTTGAGGAACAGTTCCGAACCGGACAGTGTCCTACCGCGGCTAAAATCGAGAATAAACTCGGTGTGAGGTGTAAGGAGCAAATCCCGATTCGGCAACAGGATGATGGAGTGCTCATCGTCATACAATAGGAAATGGGATTAGGCGCCCCTGTAAGTCACTCGTGCTTAGCATTCTAAAACCATAAGTAATTAACACGCTGGCTCACTCTCAAGCCCTTACCGCCCGTCTGATCGTCACCTACTCACTTCGCTTCTTTTTGTTAGTTTTCTATGCATTGTAAATTCGTTATCACTTTATCTGTCTCTCACTGAAAAAATCATTTTGTTTGGTTCTCCATTTATTCTGCTGAAGGTAAGAACCTTGACTTGATTCAATCTCCGAGAAAAGAAAGTTCAAATTCTTTTTTATTTTGAGTTCTTGAGGCCTTTTGCAACCGGTATTTGTTATTTATCTATTTGCGTTTCTTTCTCATTATAACTTCGTTTGGGTTTATTCTGGTTTAGTTCAAGTGATAAGTTCTGGAGTTCCGAGTTAATTATGTCGAAAAGAAAGAAAAAGCTGGAAACATTTTGGTGTAATTGAAATCGTGTTTGTTGTTTGTTTTGAAGAATTTAGTTGTAAGATTTAAAAAGGCTTAAAGTTGAGCTGAAGAGATAGGTTTCGAGATTTTAGTTGATTATGCTTAAAAAATCAATCTGAATTCAAGCCTTCACGGTGCGCACTTGAAATTGGTTATGTTGAGAATTCAGTTGTTGTACCCTTAAGATGTCAATTGATTTGAAACTAGGCTCGTCGTGAATCCCCTTATTAGAAGCTTAAGATGTCAATTAAGTTATGTTTGCTGTGAATTCCGTTGTTAGAACATTTAAGGTGTCAATTGATTGTCTTAGACCTTATGAAATATATGCTGCTGGATACAAGCGAATGTTTTTTATATATTTTGCTGTGCATTAAAAAACTGAAGGTGAGCAGTTAACTTTGTTTTTGAAGCTATTTATGTTGTAAATTCAGTTGTTGGAAGATTTAGGCTGTCAATCTGTCTCCCCCTGAGACATACTGAACCCTCTTCTTTTTGACATGTATAGTTATTGATTTTCTTGTAACAGGGAAACTTAAAATTGAAGGTAGATAACTCAGAGGGTATTTGGTTGTGTTCCCATTTCAAGTTAAGTTGCTGTCACATCAGCACCGCATAAATGATTCAGCTTCAATGTTCAAATTCATGTTTGGTATAGCAGGTTCAATTGGGTTCAGTAATACTTCCAGTTAAGTAACTTGTCTTTCCTCTCCCATCAACAAAAAACCTCAAGACTTTTGGCTCATTCAAGATAGTTTGAACCATTTGGGGATGTATGGAAGTAGGGCTATACATGTTATCTGCACTATTGTTGCTAGTAAATTGGATTCCTATAACAGATGATGTAGCTGTATCTTCACTTKCCATCTCCCCAAGTCACAAAAGAGAGCTTATTCTTCATAAGAAGAGTACTGGCATCAGCCACAATAATCACCAAACAAGGTAACTAAGCAGTATAACAGAACCCAACACACCTGAATATCCTCAACAACTAGCAACCGAATGACCACACACCACTTGCCAGCCGACCCACTATTTCTCAAGCTCTCAGGTCTGTCCAGGGAGAAACCCCCCTAAAAACAATAACAGATCAATAAATAGAGAATAACCAGGTTTCACAAGCTTCCTAGATCAAACGAGTTTTCTTCTGCATGCCCAAAATTCTCCAAGTATCAGAATCACACAACAGTCACACCATCAGTCACTATCAGCACATATACATCACAGCTTAGCACAATAGGGATACCTTAGTACTCTAGAAACCCAAAAGCATGCAGGTACACACCTGCAGTTGAGAAGAGAACCTAGAAAACTCCAAAAGAATGAAAGGAAGAGAAAAAGCCTACCTTTGATTAGTCCAAGAAGATCCAAGAAGGTTAGATCTGCCCCCTTTCCTTTTTTTTTGTAGCTTCTCAAACCAGAAAAAAAAGAGAAAATATGGAGAAAGTCTATTGGATCAGTCAAGATTTCTGCTTTGATACAGTAGACAATTCTGGACTGTGATCAGTCCAATTCTTGATGCAGATTTAAAAGAAAGAAAACTGGCGAAGAGAGAAGAAGAAAGAGGAAGAAAGAAGAGAGAAGAGAAAGATGGGAGAAAGAGTGATAGGCTATATCTGCCGCCTCACTCATCTATTTATAATAACATTAAAAGATGATAATTACATTTAAGTCCCTACTGTTTACATAGGCAAATAACAAAATAACTATTAAGCTAACTTTGCTAACAACATCCTAACAACAACCTAACAATAAATATAAAACTAACTAACAGCAGTAGTGGGGACCACAATAAATAACTAACAACAAAAGTTATTGCTCTGCATCTCTACACTCCCTCTCAAGATGGGAATAGATGTTTATCATTCCCAACTTGTGTAAATCTGTTTCCAACTTAGCTTTTGTAATTGCCTTGGTGAAGAGATCAGAAAGCTGCATATCAAAGGCAATATATGGAAGACACACTTCTTGGGAGGCAACTCTCTCTTTGGTAAAGTGTCGATCCACCTCAATATGTTTAGTTCTATCATGCTGTACTGGATTGTGAGCAATGCTAATAGCAGCCTGATTATCACAGTATAGCATCAAGGGTTTCTCATAAGTAATTCCCAGTTCCTCAAATAAGGACTTCAACCATAATACTTTAGTTACACTGTTGGGACCCAAACACTCCCTCCGAACCCAACTTGGAATGTGAACATAACAGGTACAGCCAAACACACGAAGAGGAATTGGGAAGAGATCCTTGTCTGGATGAAGAAGACTGAAGGGGGATTTAAACCCTAAAACCCTGGATGGCATTACGGTTTATGAGATAGGTAGCAGTAAGTACAGCATCACCCCAAAATCTTGTGGGAACATGTGAGGCAAATAAAAGGCTCCTTGCAACTTCAACAATACGTCTATTTTTCCTCTCAGCAACTCCATTTTGTTCAGGGGTTCTAACACAGGAGCTTTGGTGAATAACCCCCAT